CATGTTGGCTGGCCAGTCAAGCACAGTATTATCATTATCAGCATGGCACTGTGGCACTGTGTGCAGGTGCTAAAGTCCTGCTGGAAAAGGAAATCACCATCTTCATAAAGCTTGTCAGCAGATAAAGTGCTTAAGTGCTTCAAAATCTGGTAGACGGCTGCATTGACTTTGGACTTGATAAAACAATGGACTAACACCAACAGATGTCACAGCACCCCAAATCATCACTGACTTTAGAAACTTCACACTGGACTTCAAACAGCTTGGATTATGTGCCTATCCAGTCTTCCTCCAGACTCCAGACCTTGATTTCCAAATGAAATGCAAAATTTACTTTAATCTGAAAAGAGGACTTTGGAACACTGAGCAACAGTCAAGTTCTTTTTCTCCTTAGCCCAGGTAAGATGCTTCTGACATTGTTTCTGTTTCAGAAGTGGCTTGGTAGCCCTTTTCCTGAAGACGGCTGAGCGTGGTGACTCTTGATGCACTGACTCCAGCTTCAGTCCACTCCTTGTGTTCTCCCAAGTGTTTGAATCGGCTTTGCTTGACAGTATTCTCAAGCTTGCGGTCATCCCTGTTGCTTGTGCACCTTTTCCTACCAAGTTTCTTCCTTCCAGTCAACTTTGCATTTAATATGCTTTGATACAGCACTCTGTGAACAGCCACCCTTTTCAGTAATGACCTTCTGTGACTTACCCTCTTTGTGGAGGGTGTCAATGATTGTCTTCTGGACCATTGCCAAGTCAGCAGTCTTCCCCATTATTATGGTTTCAAAGAACAAGAGATACCCGGAATTTATTTTGTAGGGATGGTCATTTAATGAAACAAAAAATATTTTGAGATACTGGATTTTTGACTTTCATGAGCTGTAAGCTCTAATCATCAAAATTAAAAAAAAAAAAAAACACTTGAAATGTTTTACTTTACATGTAATGAATCTAGAATATATGAAAGTTTCACTTTTTGAAATTGATATATTTTACAAATATATATATATATATAAATAAACATGGGACACTCACCTTGTCCACTATAGATGCAATTTCATTAATTGTGACTTCAACAAAAACTGCCATCTGATGAAATTGCCCTTCACCTGTCATAAAACAACAACAACAAAACAAATTTATGTTTTTACAATCCACAATGTATATGTAATGTGTGAAATGTCACACCTCAAAATGTAGTTTTTTCATGATGGGTTTGGACCAACAAGAGGAAAGGCAAATGATAATGATGATGAAAATAATTTTAAGTCCAAAAAAGTGATTACCTTTCTGTGATTCAACATGCTCCTCAGATATAAGACTGTGGGTTTGGAAAGTAGTTTTCTTGGTTTCAAAAGATGTCCAATCCTCATGCGTTTGTATATCCTGCTCATCAGTCTGAACATCCTCCACATTAGCTCTGTTTGCTGAAAGGTCCTTTTCCTCAGAGACGGGCTCATTCTGAGGATTGCCCAAGTCCTTTATATCAGCTCTGTCTTCGGTAACTTGATTATTTTCAACCTCTGTTGTAGAGATTTGTGTATTCTTATTCACATGTAGACATGCTTCATGAACACAGTCATTGTTGCTGATCCCTGTGAGGACAGAGAGGGAACATTACAGAAAATTTGACAACTTTTACATTACCATCACTCAAATAAGTTAACAAAGCAGTTTTTGTTCCATGCAGTATTCACCAAAATGATGAAATCCATTATCTGTCATGCTCTTATTATTTTCGAAAATGATCAGTACGAATCATCAGTACCTGGGCTTTCTAAACTGTTATCTGTTATCACTGGTGAATATTTCTTTCTTAGAGAAGATAAGAGGGTTAACAGTTTTTGTAGTGCTGGATATTCTTTAGCATTATCCTTGCCAGGAAAACCGTTATCTTGTTGAATATGTCCCAATTTGGTGTTCATCTTCATATGGTAATCCAACAGCTGTTCAAAGTCACCAAGTTCATCAATGTCATCATTATCTTGACCTGCATTACCATTTCCCATTTTGGAATCCAGCCATGACAACTTCTGGTCTCCAAATAAATCTAAAAGGTCTTCAATATTCTGTTCGCTCAGATGAGGATATAAGTTTGTATATTCTTTAGAGGTTTCTGTAGGTTGATTGACAGTTTTTTTGTCTTGAATTTCAAGGCTTCCAGGCTGTTCTTCATTACTATGTTCTTCTTTATCTTCTGACTTCACTTCCATGTCACCATCATCACTTTGATCCCAGATGGCACTTATGCCACTTTCCTTCCTTCGTGTGACACTTTCTGAATCGGTTTGACGATCCTCATTATTTGCTGTGTCAGTCTCCTCTTTGTGCTCAACACTTTGATTTTGATCATGCATGATATTAATATTGCCATCCCGAACTGGGTCATTCTTTGAGAAGAATTCATTTGTCAGTTCTGTTTCTGTGGAAGTTGTATAGCCATCTGGGTCTTCAGACACAGCGTTAGGAATATTATCAATGTCTGCATTTTCTGGTAAACTGGGATCATGACCAGCATCTTCTAAATCACCAGATCCATCAGATGTGTTTAGCGATGGGCTATTTGTATGTGTTTCCTGTGTCTGAAATTCATGTGTGATTTGTGTGTCATCCTCTTTCTCTTTTTTTTCAAAATAATTCTCTGTAGGTTCAGAAACTGTATCTGATTCCTTTCGCTCTTCATGAGATACAACCTCATCGTCATATTTACCTACTGAATCAGTATCCTTAACAATACTTATACCTGAGTTTTCTTTCACCAATGATTCATGATGCGGTTCACTGGTATTATCCATCTCATAATCTGTGACGTTTAGGGATGAATTTGACTCTAGCTCTGAATGCAGATTTTCTTCACTAGTTACAGTTAATTCATCTGCTACAAGATTGTGATTAGGAGAAGATCTTTCATCAAGAGGATTTATGTTTGTGTCCAATTTATGTTCATTGCTCATTTGCGTTGCATGTGTTTCTGGATCTGATAACTTTTCTTCATGAAATGTGATGTCTTTTGGTAGCACTTCATCTAATTGTGCCTCATTTCTTTCCATAACTAATTCATCTTTTCTGTCTATAACTACCTCATCATTTTCTTTCGATAAACCTTGGTCGCCTTCAGCTAATTGTTTTTCATTATTATATTCTGATAATGCATCCATAATCGGTTCTGTATTTACAACTGCATTTACACTTTGACCAGTTGTGAGAGTTTCAATATGAGAGTCAGTGTACAAATCTGCAACATTTGATTCTTGTGTTTTTTCATAATGTAACCGAGTACCTGTTTGAATATCTGACTCTGACAGTTCAGATGTCTTAGCACCAGTTACAGGATCTGTACTAATTTCATTTTCTTGCTGTTTGATAGTGTCTAAATTGCCCTGTTCAGACAGACTTTGTGTCAGCTTGCCTTCTGAAATGTCATCAGATGAATCAGTTAAGTTGTTTGTGCTCTGAATAACTTTATCGTTTGTATTTGCAGACTTAACTTCATCACCATGTTGGGCGTTAGATTTTTTAGAAAAGCCATCTATATCTCTAATGTCATCAGATGCAACGCTGTCTTTTAAAGTCATTGTTTCATCAAGTAAATCAACATCCTTTGTGATTGATTCTTGCTTGACAACATCAGATATTTCTTCATCTTTCACATTCTTTTGCTCAAGAAAGTCCTCCTTACCTGAATTTACCTCCTTTACAGTCTTTTCCTTGTCACATTGCACATCTTTTATATTTTTCTCTACAGCTCCTTCTAAAACATCAGCATTATTTTCACTTTTAACTTCTTCAGTTAAATCATTTGCTGACTTGGTTTCAAAGATTTGTGAATCTTCTGTCATTTTAGATTCTACATCTAGTTGTTCAATGCTATCAGATGCAATGCTATCTTTTAAAGTCATTGTTTTGTCAGGCAACGCCTGAGTTTCAGTTGGGTTTGAGTCCTGCTTATAAATATCAGTCAGCATTTTATCTTCTTGATCCTTGTAATTATTTTGTTTCTCATCAAAGTCTTCTTTACCTGGATCTTCTTCCTTTCCTTTCTTTTCCTCATCACTTTGCCCATCTCTTCTATCTTGATCCACCGTTCCCTCAAAAAAATCTGCATTGTTTTCACGTTTAACTTCTTCATTTAAATTATCTGCTGACTTGGTTACAAGGATTTGTGAATCTATGCTGTCATCTGTCATATTAGATTCTGCAGCTAGTTGTTCAATGCTATAATATGCAATGCTGTCTTTTAAAGTCGTTGTTTTATTAGACAGTGACTGAGTTTCCATAAGTACATCAGTGTCTATTGGGTTTGAGTCCTGTTCATAAATATCAATCAACACTTTTTCTTCTTGATCCTTGTTATTATTTTGTTCCTCATTAAAGTCTTCCTTACCTGGATCTTCTTCTGTTCCTGTCTTTTCCTCGTCACTTTGCACATCTCTCGTATCTTGCTCCAACTTTCCCTCAAAAAAATCAGCAATGTTTTCACTTTGAACTTCGTCAGTTAAATTATCCGCTGACTTTTTCTCAAGGATTTGTGAATCTGTGCTGTATTTTGTCATATTCGATACTTCATCTAGTTGTTCCACGTTATCAGATGCAACGCTAAGTACATCAGTGTCTGTTGGGTTTGAGTCCTGTTCATCAATATCAGTTAACATTTCTTCTTCTTGATCCTCATTATTATTTTGTTCCTCATCAAAGTCTTCCTTACCTGGATGTTCCTCCTTTTCTGTCTTTTCCTCATCTCTCTTTACTACTGTGTCTGCCTGAAAAGGAAGCTTAAGCATTGATGTCAGGCCGTTGACTGAAAATATGGACTGTGAACTTGATTCTGAATCTTTGGTTTCAGTGTTCTCCGTATTTGTAGCAGATCCAGGGCTTTCTGACAAACTGTCTTTGCCTCCATCATCCTCATCATCTTTAGTTTGCTCTTTTCTGTAAAGGTTTGTGATTTTGTTGTACATATTTCCGTACCACCCCGCCTGCTCTTCTTCTTTTTCATTTTCTGTTTTCCTGTCCTCCAAAGGACCGTCCTTATTTTCCACACTGTCATCTGGGTTGTTTTCATCTCTCTGTATGTTGTCAACAACACCCATGTTCTGACTCGGGCTAAGAATACTCTCATCCTCGATGTTTGAGTTTTCATCTGTTTTCTCAGCTTCAGAATTGTCTTCACTAAAGTCCAAGACATCTCTACCCATACTTATCCAGGAGCTAGACTGCTGAGATGAGGTATCTTCATCATTTGTTGGGTTCTCAATATTGTCCTGAGTATCAGTTTTTAGATCCTTGTTTCCAAACCCAAAAGCATTGGTGATTTCACCCCTGATATACCCAAACGTTCCAGAATTAATCTTCTCCTCCACATGGTTCTCTTCAATATCCATCACAATTTTTCTGCTTTTGAAGGATACTTCAGCGATCTCATCCTGTGGTTCATCATTGCTTTGTTCATTCCTGCCAAACCATCCACTAACAGCAGAGCCTATCCAGGAAGACCCACCTTTTTCTGTCGTCTTGGGGCTGTTTTGATCAGAAACATCTTTAACAGAAATCTGGCTGGGTTCGCTCTCTTCTGTTTCAGTAGGTTTATCTTGGACTTCATTGAGATCGGTTTCTTGTGACAAATCTTCCAGATCATCAAATTCAGTGCTGCGCTCAATCACTAAACCATTATCATCAAAGCAGATGAAGTCATATTCCTGAGGAGAGAATTTACACTGATTAATATTTATGTTCTTTGTAGACAATTTTCTTACCAAATCAGCATACATGGAAGAATTAATTCTGTCAGATAATTCAGATTTCTTTGGAGTTAACATAAGCTACGCCAGCTTATTTGAGTCAGATTCTGTACACTGTAAAAAGTGAAAAATTATAAATTTTACCTGATCCAAGCCTTAAAGATGTGAATGCAATTTAATGTACTGATTTAATGTATGGATCTAATGTAATGGAAGTTGTAACATATATTTTCTTCTGTATTATGACATACATTTGTGAAACAGATGATCAGAACAAGTTTTTGTTGCTCTAACTGAATGTATTGATGTTAATTTGATCATTTTAAATAAATTAAACCAGTTGATGTAGACGTATAACATGAAGCACATTTTTTAGGTTACTTGACAAAACAGTACATTAAAAAAAAGTACATTAAAAACAGTTTTTTTTAAGTACATTACCTGGGTCGGCACCTGGATTTCCTTTTTTTCATCAATAAACAGTTGATCAACTTTGATGGCATCTTTTGGGAACAATCCAGACAGCTTTTCTATCTGCAAAATGTAAAATATTGTGAATATTAATAAACAAATTAACAATAATAAGAGTTTATATGTCAGATTAAAGCACAAATGTTGTATATCGATTTTACTTTATTGATTTATACATGCATATTTTTAATCAAGACAGAACCAGAAAAGAGTACTCACACTTCCTGCCCAGAGATCATTTCTTTTTCCAGTAAGTTTGTAGTAAACAGTGATGATATCCCCTTTTTTGAAGTTTAGAAAGCGGCAGTCTTTAGCACTATGGTCTCTCTGTGCCTGCACCCGATTTATCATGCCTGAAGAAATGGACAAAAACTTAAAGATAAGAAAGCAATAACCTGAACACGAATCACATCATTTTGCATGAATCCATATAATCATTAGATAAACAGTAATCACATATCACAGTTTCAGTCGAATCTTTTCTTTTACAGTATATGAACCTAAATGATGATCTTACTTTCACATTGGGGGTCTCCACATAGTTTGTAGTCTGAAATCAAACCCAAACCCTGGTGTAAAAAACCGAAGACAATATGAAACAAAATGAATGCATGTACAGCTGCCATGTTTGGATTTATCCAGCAATTCCCTTCATCTCATTAGATCAGTTCCTTTATGTACATTTCCAAATCCAGTAGTCAGAGGGAAAGACAGGCAAAGTCCTGGCGAAAGTCATTCCCTTGGTCTTGTCACAGAATGAGCCAATCCAAGGAGATCACAGTCTGACAGGCAGAGATTGGATTAGAGGTTACTGTCAGTAAATCATTAACATCAACACAAGCCACATCACAAACTCACATTGGACCAAAGCCACATTCAAACAGATAAGGTTTCACAATATTAGACTACTTGAAGCAGTAGTATTTTCACATTGTTTGGATTTTACCTGAGATATTATAGTGAGTAAACCTCGTGAAACAGGCATAAGAAATACTAGCCTCATTAAATTATCATTGTGTTAGATTATAAGTACGAGACTGAAAGAGCAGTCATTTAGAATACATAAAAAATATGAATACAGAAAATATCCTGTTGGTTCTAAAAGAAGGTTTTCCCAATGATGCCATAGAAGAACCATTGTTTGGTTTCCAAAGGATCTTTCAGTGAACAGTTCCTAAAATAACCATTTTTGCTTGGTGTGAAGAACATCTTAAAAACCTAAAGAAACTCTTACCACTATAATAATCTAAAGAACCTTTTTCCACTGTAAAGTAACTCGTTGTGCAGTTGAAAGGTTCCATGGATGTTAAAGGTTCTTCATGAATCCATAGATGCAAATTAAGGATTTCTTTTTTTTTTTAAAGTGTGTAGGATTTTTATGTTTTTCATTAGTGCAATAACAACCACCGGTAATCGATTAATAAGATTCTGCTTAGAACTTTGTCATTATAGTGAATATAACAGATCAGACTGCTCTTTCCAGTACAAGAGTAACAAAATAGGACAAATAAGATGCATATGGGTAACATATCAGCTCACTCAGTGCTGTTATAGTGTTGTTAAAGGAGAGATTACTGATAGGAGTGACTGACTGAGCAAAGGTCTGTAGAGTCTGAAGTTCTGCCAGCGGCACAAACTGTATTTGAGATATCAGTCTATAAATAAGTTGGATATTTTGATGTTTTATTTCATGTCACTATTTGACATAACATAACATGGCTGACACACTTCAGTCCCCTCATGAAAAAATTATTACCTCATGAAGTTATCAAGATGCCCCTGAAATCACATCCAGGTGGCAAATGTTGCCCCTTAAAAACGTACAATTCTGACACTAATACTTATACACTGCATGCATAAAAAAGAAAATGATTCTTTAAAGGGGTCATATGATGCAATTTAAAATTTTCCTTTCTCTTTGGAGTGTTACAAGCTCTTGGTGCATAAAGAAGATCTGTAAAGTTTCAAATCCAAAGAGATATTCTTTATAAAAGTTAAGAGTTAACCACGCCTACCTAAAATGGCTCGTTCTAACACTCCCCCACGTCTACGTCACTATGTGGGAAGATTTGCATAACGCCGCCCAATTGTTCACACAAAGAAAGAAGGCGTAACTTTTATTCTCGCTGTAGTATTGTTGTTGCTGCCGCCGCCATCTCGTGAAGGCACTGTGTTTCATTGTGAAAGCGAAACTACTTTGGTTGGCCTTCCAAAAGAGGATGATATACGCTTCGTCATGCCTAGAGCTGATCCGTGCTGGTCGCTGAGGAAATACAACCACTTTGAGCTGTGAATCGCCGGATCGGCTTTCACCGTGGACGAAGCGGAGTCCAGCCCGGGGTCGTCACATGTGGTTGCCGCAAGCCTGCCGGACGCTCATTCGTCGAATCCACCGGCCGCGCCGTTCTCAAGCCCGACCGCCTCTGCTCACTCAAGGCCGCAGTGTGTGACGCTGTTTCATTGTGAAAGCAAAACTACTTTGTTTGGCCTTCCAAAAGAGGACACAACTAGAAATCAGTGGTTAAGTTGTATTCACTGTTCCAGTACCCAGGATGCCGAGGTCACACCTCTACTCTTTTCGAAAGACATCCTGGGATTTTTAATGACCACAGAGAGTCAGGACCTCGGTTTAATGTCTCATCCGAAGGACGGTGCTTGTTGACAGTATAGTGTCCCCGTCACTATACTGGGGCGTTAGGACCCACACAGACCACAGGGTGAGCACCCCCTGCTGGCCTCACTAACACCTCTTCCAGCAGCAACCTAGTTTTCCCAGGAGGTCTCCCATCCAGGTACTGACCAGCCTCAGCCCTGCTTAGCTTCAGTGGGCAACCAGTCTTGGGCTACAGGGTGATGTGGCGGCTATGTAAATAATGTACAGTATGTGGAAAATAATGTGTTTTTTGAACCTTAAACCACATAAACACATTTCATTACACCAAATACACAAAATAATGTTATTTTTAGCAGCATCATATGACCCCTTTAACTTCTGTATTATCCTGTTCATATTTCTTTTCATATTCCTCCTAAACAACAGATGTCACTACACATCTTTTCCGTCTTTCCATCTGTATCTTTGCGAGCGAGTCACCACGGTAACCGTCGCGTCTATTGGTCGTCATCATCATGGCCAATGTTTTCAAAATGGAGAGGTTGACAAGCACATAGAGAACGTACAGCAGCGACTCGTCAATATTGATTTGTTTTGGATGGTTACGCATAGAAAATAACGCAAAGACATGAAGTCAGACGTGGAGGAGTTCATGCCCAGACTTCTGCCTGTGGAGTCCTGCGACACAGAGGAATATAACTCAAACGAACCGCCCAGAAACCCTCAAGAATATCTCAGACAGGTCCAGTAAGTCATTCTTCATCTATTCTTTTAGGTTTTAAAACAGACGTTAAGTAGAACTTTATTTAAGCACCATTGTGCTTTACATATGAAGTTCTAATCGTATTGAAAGAGAAAATAATACATTTGAAATTAAAAGAATATTCATAAAATTCCAAACCAAGACAAAAGAAAGTTAAATATTGATTTGGGAAAAGTCTCAGTGATATAGTGTGCTTTGAGATGGGTCTACTTTTTTTTCCAAGTTAAATTTAATGATATGCATGATTTAGCTTGTGTATTTAGTCATGTTCCATTGCAAAAGTAAAAAGACATTTCATTATTAATATCGAGAAATTAAGTCTGTACAAAACGGGGCATTTTTTAAATGAAAATCTGGTTACAAAACGTTGCACATTATCAGTTGGTTTTATATTTTTGTTGCTTTCTAACATGTTTTAAAAATACTTTTGTTTGTTTACTGTCCAATGATTTTTTAGATGCTCATTGTAAAAATTCATAAAGTTGCATTATGTTTTTACAGGAGGGAAGCGTCTCTGTGCCCAGATGTTGTTGTGGCACAAATTGATCCAAAGAAGCTGAAGATGAAACAATCTGTGAATGTGTCTGTGAGTGTGACAAGTGAACAGTGGCTATTAAATTGTAAAACTTGTTATGTGTGTAATAATTTAGCTTTTTTTTTTTTTTAACAGATCACAGGTTGTCTGGCCGCACCTCAGGGTTTCTCTCCCTGCTTGAAATGGCAGCAACAACAAGTCAGCACATTTTCAGAAGTCAGACAGGTATGCGATTTTAACTTTTACTTGTACAAGTACTTATACAATAGTATCTAGCATTTGTCTGTTTGCTTTTTACCTATTAATATAACTCTTTTTTTCAGAGTGTTAACAAACATCGTCAGCATTGGAAATCTCAGTTTTTGGATGATAATGTTGTCATGGTAAGGCAACTGAAGACATATGATATGATACTTTATTGTCAGACTGAGTCTGAAATGTTTTCAATTATTCATCAAACAATCAACATACCATTAAACAGTTGCATACACTCAATCCACACGATATATCTTACAATCACAAATACAAAATTCCACACATTACACAATAGGCTCACATAAACATTACATTACACAGACATTAAACATTACGCTCACATAAAACATACTTGTACGTTACAATCCTGTAGTACATTCAGTTACTGTACTTTTGATTAAATGATGAAAAAGTTGCTTTAAAAGCAAAGTCTTCTCCCCACTTTAGCCCAAAATGGAGGATGAGGATGGATGGAAGAGGTTCTGCTTGGGTGAGAATGTTTGCCTTGATATCCAGCTGAAAGAAGAAGACAAAGTTAACCCGAGTCTTGATTATATCAAGGTAATAATAATAATTCCCCCCCTTATAAGATTATCAACACACTGTGATAATGGTTGTCAGTATAAGTAGATTACATTGAGTTACATTGAGTAAATTTATTATTACAAAATGTGAGCATTCTGCCATGATTTGATGTTCTTGAATCTCTTTATATCAGACTGGTTTCCCACCATTCCTAAGCATTGTCAGCAAACTAAATCAGGTAACTGCCATTTGACAGCAGATGTGATTATTATTCACGTATAAATCACAGATTTTAATATTTAATTGCCATTGCATTGCATTCCCTTTTCAGTCAACCATTTCAGCTGTGCTTGAGTATTTAATCAATTGGTTTGAGGAGAGAGACTTTGTACCACAGCTGGTAAGTCCAATTTCTCTATTGTGTCACATTCAATATACATTGATTTATTTAAAGAAAAGGTAAAATATTTATTTCTTTGTCTCTAATAAATTGTATGTTTTGCATTTTTTTCCCCAATAAAATGTAATGGTATTATTGAACTGTATTTCAGTTTAGCTGTACATTGCACATTTATCTTCACAGGGCAGATGGCTTTATGCATTACTAGCGTGCTTTGAGAAACCGCTGCTTCCTGAAGCACATTCCCTTATCAGACAGTTGGCAAGACGGTGCTCTGCAGTGCGTGCCAATCTGGTAAACACCTTTTGGTTTGCTCTGAATTAAAAGCTGGGGTATCATTATTTTCTCCCTTGCTTCCGTTGCAGTTGCACAGGTGAAGGCTTGTTTGTTGACAGCCTGAAATAGGTTGCTTAAAATAGACTGTATATTATTTTTCTCTTCCAGGAGAGCAAAGATGATGATCGTTTGTCAGCTCTTAACTTGATGATTTGTATTGTTGCCAGGTAAGTGACATGGTGCTGTTATAGACAGATTTAATGTTCCCTGAAACATGTGCAGGTGTCCTTATGAAGTATAATCACACTCCTGTCTATTAAAGGTATTTTGAGCAAAATGATTTGGCTGACAAAGAATGAGAAGAACTTGGAAACAGACGGAGGGGGCCTTTGTGAAGAAAATTAATGTGCGTGAAAGGATTCATGCGAG